AGCCTCACCACACATATACCAATAATAAAACACTTTCTGCATTGAACATACTCAGATAATGATCTCAGTTATAACCAAAAGCTTCGAGCGGCCGGCTGAATGAGATCGACGTTTTTTTATCTTTTCTTTTTCATTTGACATACGAACATTCTTTAACGTTCTTCTTTGCGATTGCGAGCTATATTTATTGTAATCTGAGACTAGTAGAAGGGGACTTCAACTACATAGGAGTTAATACAGTAAAGACAAGGACACGTTTCCACTGCGTCAAGCATACTGGGCATAGAGGGTTAAATAGACAAGTATTTGTGGGTGATGATGTCAATTGTAGCTTTATAATTGTTTAACTAGCCCTGAATAGTCTCACTGATTTTGCACCTTTATACATCCCCCAACAGTCAGTTGCTGTCAACATTTTGATACCCTAAGCCTTACTAACTATACTGTTAACGTTTTGATATCCTAAACCTTTCTAACTATACTGTCAACATTTTGAAACCCTAAGCATTTCTAACTATACTGTCAACATTATTGAAACCCTAAACCTTTCTAACTATACTGTCAACATTTTGAAACCCTAGACCTTTCTAACTATACTGTCAACATTTTGAAACCCTAAACCTTTCTAACTATACTGTCAACATTTTGAAACACTAAGCCTTTCTAACTATACTGTCAACATTTTGAAACCCTAAGCCTTTAACTATACTGTTAACGTTTTGATACCCTAAAGTTTTCTAACTATACTGTCAACATTTTGAAACCCTTAACCTTTCTAACTATACTTTCAACATTATGAAACCCTAAGCCTTTCTAACTATACTGTCAACATTTTGAAACCCTAAGCCTTTCTAACTATTCAACAAGTAAATGTATCTTTTAGTCCATTGGCACATCCGGCATGTGGTGATAAACTTATTGAAAAAAAAAAAAAAAAGTTAAACCAATAAGCACTCATTGACTGATATGGTCATCCTTACGCCGACCGCCTTTACTTATTATGATTTCATGAAACCTATTTTAGCCAGGGAAACCTGGGATCCCAAGTCAGTTATAAACATAAGACATTCAGACTAGCAACCAAGCGTCTAGCCACTGTGGCTGCCTTTCTACTCCCTTCTATAGTACGTTTACAAATTCATGCAGTTTTATTTTCAAAAATTTCTCGGTAGTTACTGAATCTTGAAGCGTGATGTACGGAGGTTCTATTTTCGTCTGGACGGTAAGGTTTTATACATACACAGTATTTAAGAATGCCCAATTGTACCAAAACAGACGTTTTCTTTGTTATTTTCATCATGTGTATAATTTTTGTTAGGTTACATTAAAAAAAAAAAAAAAATGGTTACAATAGCGACGTGACTTACTCTATACCTAACCACATAAGAGACAAAACTTGGAAACTATCCAGCACGCTAATTTGTTTTAGCGCGTTGCGACATGTTTAGCGCCACAGTTGTGGTTGGGGTCTTTTTCAGAATTTATGTAAAACACAACAAACACGTGTTTTTGTGAAAGATCGATTGGTTACATTTGAACGCTGTGCTGTATAGCTCTTAAAAGGCAATCCAGCAAAGATCATCGTGTATTTATATACATCGAATAAGTAAAAATGCGTTCTCAGTGTTTGTTATGCGGGTTTAAAAAAAGGTAACAAAACGTTGAGAATGAAGAAAATATTATTTTATAATTTTATCAAGAAATATTCCACTGCAGTTGACATTTAATTGTTTTTAACAGCGGTACGAATTTGTAAATGCACTGTACATTTTAGTTTGGCTAACGTGGAAAACCCAGTGAAGAAAAAAATATATCTGTCAACGACTGTCATGTCTATGGCGTTGTCCTTCAGGAGGCAGCGGTCACGTGCACTAGGACACCACGTCATAATCTGTCACTGATAAATCCGTTAATGCGCGCACCACCGTCTCACCACAGCGAGGGAAGCGCTTAGCGTCTCCATTAAAGCGACGTTAGCAATTAATTGTTACCCTGTTGTAGCCACTATAGCTTTAATATCTAACACCATTACACATGTTAAGCAGTTTGTTGCCTTGAAACAAAATAAAAGTTATACAAAAATAGAAAGTATCATTTTAAAAATAAATACCCGCTTTTTGTTCTGTTTGCCATTAAAAAAAAAAAGCGGTTTTTGTGCAAACGCCAAATGTCTACAAGTTACAACCGAAACCACTTACATTTGAAGTTTTACATCTACTGATTTCACAAGTTATTTGACATCTTATACTACGTAGTTTTAAAACTGACCATCCGTCTGTGTGTGTGTGTGTGCGCGCGCGCGCGTGTGTGTAATTCATACAAACTGTGTTAGCAGTAATTGTCAATATTACATAGCTTAGTTATTCAGCATGTTCTGAAGTTGTTATCTGACGGCGTTAATTTATACAGTAATGCTGTTACAAATATTTCACTAGGTACAAAGCCTCTTTGAGAGATTCTAGTTTTCGCTCATCGAATTTAGAAAGGAAAGCTAAAAGGCTCTGGTCGAATCGTTGGCGAAAGTTTAATTCTGCAGTAAGGTTTACATTGAAGCTGTCTCAGGTGAACGATAAAGTTAGGTAAAGGTGTAGCTTAGTGTAACAAAATCCACGTGACTAATTGTTACATCTCTGCCTTACAGTCGGTTCTGACGAGGTTCTCCCACAGGAGTAATGTGTCTGTAGCCAAAAGATTTTGAAACATTTTAATTAGTCAAAACAACAAAGCAAATGAAGCATAATCAAGTTTTATCTGTCTTGTTGGTGGTCAGTTTGATTTCAAAAACATTCGGCCAGAGAGGGCCGGGAATTCAGCCTATTGCTTTCAGGTAAGAAATTCGTTTTTTAATGTAAACTAAACTCGGTCGCCTTGTTGCTTCTGATATTGTCCGGTCTATCGCTTAGAGTTACCTCTTTTTGATGTTACATGATCTTGGATGCCAAATCGACTCAGCCTTAAACGGACACAAAGAAATATGATGGGAAGTAAATGTGACTGGCAAGTTGTTGACTAAATCCCCCTTCGAGTGTCAGTTAATCATCAACCTGCAGGGGTCCTTCACAGAACGTCGCCCACGTCACGCCTGAAAGTTGATCTTTCTTTAGCCAGTTCTGGAGCCCTGTGTGCTTTCACAGACAATATGTCTTCAATATGTTATTTCCACTTTCACTGAGATTTGCCCCTGCCTTATTTGCCTCAAACTGTCCCCTCCATCACGGCTCCCCCAACACCACCATCACGTTTAACATGGCCAGCTATGTTTTGGGGACAAAATGCTGTTTATAAGTCAGATCCCCTCGACGCTCAGATCATGTAGGACAGAGCTATTCAGTTGACCGACCGAGGAACAAATCGCATGGCCCAAGGATCATTTGCCAGTTGTATTGTAATGATCTTTTTTATGGTAGGGCTGTGGCCTTTGGTCCGTGACGATCCGGAGTTTCAAAAGTTTGACCCCCAGAGTAAACTGAGTTGAAAAGCTCTGATGTAGGATGTCAGTGTTTCATAATTACAGATACAACACAGTTTTAAGTAGTCTGGGGGAATTGTATGGGAAGGAAAGGCGACGAATAAGGGAATTAGCCATCTAGCTGATTATGTCGTGGCCTTAAATTTGGGAAAGTCTAAATCTCCCACCTGGTGACCGTTTTTAATATGGTGGCTTTACCTTCAATGTCACAATCATACTGGTTGCTGAAATACCAAAAGGAATCAAAATGACAACGAATGCCGACGACCTGGTACTGTGTTGCACCAATGAACATTCAGAGGTAGCCACAAGAACAATACAGCGAGCTACAGATGCACTTGTTGCATTGGCGAATAGAGTGTGTGTCAGCATTAACACAGACAAATGTAGCACTGCAATCTTCACCCTCTAAAAACAAAAGGCAGGCATAATTAAAATAAAAGGAATACCCATAAGAGATGATAAAAAAGTCCACGTACCTTGGAGTCACATGTGATGACAGGCTGACGTGGAGAAAACATATCAAGAAGGTAGCAACCAAAGCCAGGAGGAAGAGATATATACTTAAAAAAAAAAAAAAAACTAAGTGGAACCACATGGGAAGCAGTGGGAAATGCTCAATAAAGTATACAAACAGAGCATACAACCACACTTGGAATATGAGTCAAGTGCATCCAGTACCACATTAAAGGAGTTGGACAAAGTGCAAAACCAAGCTCATCACAGGGGGAATCAAATCAACCCCATGTTCAAATCAACCCCAGTATTAGAAATGGAGAAAGCTGAGAGTACACAGACACTCAGAGAACGAAGAGATTCAAACTTGCAAAAACTAGCAGAAAAGTTCCTCACTATGCCAGATCACCCCACAAAGAGAAGATTCCTGAACCTAGGTTTGGGACGCTTAAAAAGACCGCAGTTTTATACACCAAACAAAACGAATATGCCCAGACAAACTATTGACCTTCATGAAATTGGCTGTCTACTTAAAATTGTTCCCAGAACAAACCCTGTGGAAAGAAAAAGTGCAAACAGTACAAATCCAGTAGAGTGCAATGTAACCATATATGTGATGCAGTACTGGATTCCATGTAACTACGTATGTGACACAGTCTAGGTTGCAGTGGAATATTGTCTCCTGTGTGATGTAACCATGAATGTAACAGTGACAGTCTTGGGCGTAATGTGATGTAACATTGTCTTCTGTGAGATGTAACATTTGTAAGACCTTGTCTTCTTTGTGGTGTAACATTTATGTAACATTCTTTTCGTTGTGATATAATAGTTATGTAACCTTGTTTTCCGAGTGATGTAACATTTATGTAACATTGTCTTCTATGTGATATAACATTTATATGACATTGTTTTCTGTGTGATGTAACATTTATGTGACATTTTTGTCTGGGTAATGTAACATTTACGTGACACTGTCCTGTGTGTGATATACCTATTTACCTTAGACAACTTAATACATTGGTAAAACAACACATGTATTTGATGTGTTAACAAACTGGCAACATATCTTCTACAGACTCCAGACGCCACCAACACTGGCAGGACCAACTGCATCCAACACTCTCCTGACGAATGCAGAGAAGGTTCACCAGAACCTCGTCAAAGGGCCAGCATCGTTGGTCAACCACGACGGTACTGTTAGTTATTACCTGTCATCCCCCTTGTGGGATGCAATTTTTCGTTACTTTGAACCGCCACCCTGGAGCCGCAATATAGCCCGGCTATAAATATGGTCTAATGACTGAACGCGGCTTCTGGGACCTCTCCATGGGTGATCCTCATCCGCATGGTGGCACTTTGTGTCATCGGGTGTTTATCGCTTGTGTGATGTCCTAGTGGGGTAAAAATTACTACGACTACTACTCTTAGTTAACAGTGTTAGATCAACTGTAACAGTGAAGGACCATTTTCGACGAATACTATATTTTACTGATCAATCGGCACTCGGTGGGTAATGTAGTCAACATCCTGCTCGCCGCTTTTACTTCCTAGGACGTTACCTGGTAACCACTCCAGGCTGGGTCGACGGGGGAGCCAGGATAATTTAGTTTAGTGGTGTGGGTAGGGGCATAGAACAAGCGGAAAATCATTGTCCAAAGGTAGCGAAATCGTAGCTATTACGCATAAGTATCATGCGAGCTAAGAATAGAAAGACTTATAAAAAGAATAATACATTGTAAAGGAATTTTCATATACGGGAACTAGAAAAGTTACTACAGCCCTATGACAGAAATAACATATTTCCTGCCCACAGGTAGAAAGAAATATTACCAGCCAAGTGATAAACATGAGATATTGCCACAACAATGACAGAAGGGAGTTTTTTTCCCCACCAGCCTATTGTTTTATAGTGTCAGTCTTAACATGTGGCTGTGAATCCTGGACAATTAACAAACAAGCCTAACAATTTGTTGAAGCATCGAAGTTGTGGGTTTACAGAAGAATCTTTAGAATTCCATTGAAAGCAACAAAGAGCAGCACAGCTGTTTTGAAAGAGGCGAGGGCTCGAAGACAACTTATCACAAACAACAGAGAGAGAGAGAGACATTCGTCACTTTGGGTTCATGTTATGAGAAGAAGAAAACAGGAACATGTTGAGACCACTAGAAATATCCGTGGAAAAGAGACAAAGGAAGACAAACGGGAGACGACTGTTGACAGTCTTTTGTCATGGCATGAAGGGGTGTTAACACTTACTTACTTACTTAGTCGCTCCTCTTCTACCTTGGGGTGTAGAGGTTTGCCAGAGAGATCGCCAGACGTCTCTATCAGCAGTTTTCTTTCTGGCTTTGTTGCATTCCAGTCCTCTGTCAGTCAGGGACTGTCGGATGTTGTCTTCCCAGCGCACCCTGGGTCGTCCCGGAGGTCTGGTTCCCTGGTTCTTAGCCTCCCATGCTTGCCATGGTGGCCGATTTTCTCCCATTCTGCACACATGTCCAAACCATCGTAACTGTGACTGATCCACTCGGGTTAGTAAGGGCTGGGTATCAAGATCTTGACGTATTGTCTGATTGCGGACTTTGTCCCTTCTTGTCACTTGGACCACCTTTCTCAGGTATCTCATTTCCGAGGCCTGCAGCTGGCTTCTGTGAGCTGTTGTCATTGCCCATGACTCACACCCATAGGTCAGGACTGGTACATAGGTAGAGCGGTAAACAGCCATTTTCGTCCTCTTGCCAATTTTTCTTTTGCTAAGAAACCCTCGGTTTATGGCCTGGAAGAGTCTCCCAGCAGCTGCTTTTCAGGTAGCCAGCTCAGTCTTAATGCCTCCATTTTGGTCTAATACAGCTCCAAGGTATCTGAACTGGTTAACCTGCTCCAACGCATACTGTCCCATCATGATCTGGTGTTTCTTCTCCTCTCTTGAGATCACCATGGTTTTAGTTTTGGAGACACTGATGGTCATCCCTTTCTTTTCAAGCTCTTCCTTCCAGACAAGTAAGTTGGACTGAAGGCGTGCCTCTGATTTAGCTATCAGGGCCACATCGTCTGCAAAAGCCAGCTCTGATATACAGATTGGTCTCATCTTCCAGTACCCTACAGAGTACTTCTTTGTCTTCTCCTTACAGGTCTTGATGACATCATCCATCATAAGAATGAAGAGGTAAGGTGAGAGAATATCACCTTGTCTAACACCGCTGGTGGTCTTAAATTCTTCTGACTTTTGGTCTGCTGTTCTTACATAATTTCTGCACTTTTTGTAGAAACTCTGTATTGCACTGATCAGGGGTGCTGGGATGTTTTTCCCTGCCAAGCAGTCCCAGAGCTTGTTCCAGGGTACCTGGTCAAATGCCTTTTCCAGATCCAAAAAACATAAATGCATCTCACTCTTATATTCCAGGGCTTTTTCACTCATCTGTCTCAGTGTGAAGATAAGGTCTTGAGTACTTCGGTTTGCTCTGAAGCCGCATTGGGCCTCGTCCAGCTGTGGCTCTACCAGACTTCTAAGTCTCTGCTCAAGAATTCTAGAGTAACTTTTACCGGGAACGCTGAGGGATATGCCTCTGTGGTTTTCACATTGTCTGTTATCACCTTTTTTAAATATAGGTATAATGATGGCAATCTCCCAATCTTTTGGTATATTTTTGCTACCCCAGGCTGCCTGGAGAACCTTCAGTAGAAGGCGCTCACCTTCGACTCCCATATATTTGACCATCTCTGGTGTTATACCATCATGACCTGCTGCTTTTCCCAGCTTAATCTTCTCAATAGCTGCCTTCAATTCTTCCATCCTGATGTTCTTCCCCATGATTTAATTCCTTCTCAGCAGTGAGGTCCATTATTTCTGGGTCATGACTTCCCTCAACGCCGAATAGCTCTGAGAAGTATTCATTCCATCTGCCCATGATATCATTTGTAGAAGTAAGCAGAGCCCCTTCCTTGTCTTTTATGAATTTAAGTGGGCACTCTTTCTCCTTCCTCATGTTCTTAAGGATCTTGTAGAACAGTTTTTGGTTTTCTCTTGCATTCTTTTCCAACTTTTCTCCAAACTCTTCCCATGATTTGTGTTTTGCTTTAAGCACAATATTTTTGGTCTCTGTTCTGAGTTCCACATATTGTTTATATTTTCCTATTTCTTCAGCTGTGTTCCTGGCTGCCAGGTATTGCTTCCATGCCCTTTTCTTTTCTCCTATTTTCAATTTGACTTCTTCTGTCCACCAAGGTGTCCTGTGTCCCCGCCTTCCACTTGGGACTTCACCACATGCTTCTACTGCAGCTGCTGTGAGGATATTCTTGAAACTGCACCAGAGGGTTTCAGTGTCCTCTGATGATTCTTCTTCAGTTCCTATTGCTTTCACTATAAGCTCCTGGTATCTAGCCTTAATATCTGGCTCTCTTAGCTTGTATGCTTTAATCCTCATCATTTCTTGGTTGCTTGGTTTCTTGCATGGTTGTCGGTGTTGCCTTGTTGGAGCACTTCTTTCAGATGTTCTCTTTATTGTGACCAGATAGTGGTCACTTCCAATCTCTGGTCCTCTCATGACTCTGGCATCTCTCACAAACTTGAATGAACTTTTCCTAACTATGGCGTAGTCAATGATGGATTTTTCATTCTTTGAAGGTTCACATCTTGTGTATGCATGTATACGCTTGTGGGGGAATTTTGTGTTTGTAATGACAAGGTTCTGTTCCCTGCAGAATCTGAGAAGTCGCTTGCCATTATCATTCAAAACATCTTCACCATATCTCCCGATCACTCCACCCCATCTAGAGTGATCATTTCCTACTCTGGCATTTAGATCTCCTAGGAGGATAATTTCATCGTGACAGTCATCTATGGTCCTTTGGAGCAGTTCAAAGAATTCTTCTTTAACATCTACTCGCTCATCTTCATTTGGCCCGTACACAATGACAAAATTGACAATTTTATCTTCTTCTTTCAGATCTAACACCATTATTCGCTCTGAGATGAATTTCCATCCCTTGATGTTGCTAACTTGATTCCTGGCCACAATACAGCCAACACCTCCCTTGGCTCTCTCCGTCATAGGGACACCACTGTAGAGCAGCATACTTCCATCGTGATCTGCGATTCCTTGCCCCTTTTTCTTGGTTTCAGTCAGAGCCAAGACTCCTAATTTTGCTTTCCTCATCTCCCCTACTAACTCGTTTTCCTTTCCGTTAATTCCTCTTATATTCCATGTTCCATAAATCGTAGTCCGTAAGCCATGCCAGTTCGTCGCCGTTAAGATCCGTCCGGTTTTCTCTCTGTAGTTACTTGTAATCGTGGTTTAAGGCAAACATGTGATTGGCCTGTTGTGCCTTTGCATGGTGGAGGGGCTGCCTCCTTGCGGCCTCCATGCAGGCCGTCTGGCTGATTCACGGTTACCCACTACTTCCCGAGACGCATGAAGCACTCAGGTTCAGCCAGACCCTCCTCCTTTTCCAGCAGGGCTTGGGACCGGTCTTAGCGGAGTTGATGTTAACACATGAGCTGTTATATGCTGTTGAAGATCGCAAGAGTCGGAGAGGCATGATCGCCCACGCTAGTCGGCAAAGGTCCTGATGACGATGACTGCTAGAAGAGATATAGCTAGTCTTCCGATGGAAAGGCATTATTTCAAACTAATTTAAAGAAATATGTCTAGCCTTTTGACAGAATGGAGATATTACCCTTATCTTGATAGAAATAATGTGATGGATAGAAATGATGTATTGGTGTCAAATGATTAAAAAATTAAATATCAAACATAATAATAATAATAATAATAATAATTTTGGCTAACATTATTAGATCAACTGTAAAAGCAAAGGACCCTGTTCCACGGCTATAGGCGTATTCGGTATTTAATGTTAGAACTATATTTTATAGACCAATCGGCACTGGGTGGGTAATGCGGTCAACATCCTGCCGGCCGCCTTCACATCTCCAAGAATATTTTTTTTTTAAATGTAGAGAATACATGTCGGATATGCTGTGATGCTGTGGAGTCTTCGGTTATCAGTAACTTCTTCAATGCAACTACTTCTTGGTCGTCCTCTACCTCTTGGTCTTTCTAATTTCATGCTGTACGCTCTCGTTGCTAGCATCATTGGATTTAACCTCATTAAATGGCCAAACCATTTCAGTCATTGGTTTTCAATGACAATTATTATATGTGTTGTTCTAATAGTTCTTGTAATTTCTTCGTTTCTCACATGATCTCTTCTAGTGTTATTCATGGCCTTTCTTAATCATTCTATTTCGCTGCTGTTTAGTTTTTCTTTCATGTTCTCTGGTCAATGTCCAAGTCTGACACTGATAGCACAAGGCTGGTATGATGACTTCATTTATATGTTGTCTTTTATTTTTATCTGGATAGCCGGGTGTCCATAACTGGGGTCATTTGATACGTGATATAATTGGCTTGCTGGATTCTTGTTTCAGTTTCTCTGTCCATTCTGTAATCATATGTAGACAAGGCATTGGTCGTCGGCGAAAAGGAGTTCGTTAAAATGTTTCTGTTCATCTCCAGCTGGTGACATTTTGATGACATTGTTCATAATATTATAAAAAGCATAGATGATAAGCACAACTCCGGAAGTTAATGGAAACCAATCTGAAGGCCATCTTTTGGTCTAACGGCTCTTTTTCTTTCCCTAGACACGGCGATTGTGCAGTCTATCAATATTCTCTCTCTCTCTCTCTCTCTCTCTCTCTCTCTCTCTCTCTCTCTCTCTCTCTCTCTCTCTCCCCCCTCACTCTTTTTTCCCCATAATTTTTTCAGGACTTCCCTAAGTAATTATCTGTTTAGACTGTTCTATCAAAGGCCTTATCTTGATCTATGAAGGCAACGTTTATTTAGTGTCTGTATTCTTGTCCCTTTTTTGTCTTAAAGCAAATATAATAGACGTTAGTGTTATATTCTACTATGGGGAGGCATGCAGCAGATACGGTAGTATGACATCTTTCAAAAAATATTGGCACACAGCCACAAAGTTAAAAAGTTATATGCAATTTAGTAATAAAATAAAAGCATACTAACAGAAACTAATACCTTCTAAATACAGAAATTGTATCTAACACTAAACCAATTCTATTGATCAATTTAGGACATCTTTACGCCAGCACGGTCGACAACAAGATCTTTGACTTGGCCAGCTGCCCGCCGCGGCTCATTGCCGACCTTTCTCCTCCAGGATGTTGTAAGTAATTTTAAGATATCTTGCGTACACTGCTGTAAAAAAAAAAAAATAATAACCACTGAATTTATATGTTAAATCACAATAAAGAATGTTCCATTAAAAAAATAAAAAATATTTTTATACAGGAGAAATCATACATGACGCGAGAAGACGGGGGTGGGGGAAGGGGGATTGGGGGGGGGGGTGAGGTGGAATAGGGTCCCTGTGACCAAGCAGTTTGCCTCAGGATCTGAAGGTCGCAGATTTGTTTCACTGACGCGTCTTCCAGTCTACCAGTGCGGTTTCTAAAAACAAAATTCGCACCTGAACAGTCCGTGGCGACAGCACTAGACATGCGGCCGTTAATTCTCAGGCTCAAAAGACTACCCACCCCCCTCGGACCCCACCGTCTACACCGCAAAAGTGGCACAATAAAGGCTTTAACTGGTAGTTTGGTAGTGCGGTTTCAGCAGGGAATGCTTTTTTTTGGGATCGTCACTAGAGTTTATGTAGGCAAATGTTACTTCAGTAGTTTGCCATTGCAACTGAACGGTCAGCTCTCGGTACCACTGTCGAAATCAGCGCAAGACAACACATTCTTAGCTGGGATCGAAACCTAGCACCTCGGCATTACAAAACTCATTTGCAACGCCTAAGCCACAGAAGTAAGGAGAAAAAAGGGCAGATAAAAGGAAATATTTAGATGACCTAGCAGAAGAAACGGAGACAGCAGCAGCAAAAGGAAACCCAAGAGATCTTTATAGTAACACAAGGAGAAATAAGTAGGCAAATATAGTTAGCTAAATGGATCAATAAAAACAGTAAAGGAAAGGTACTTACCAACACTAAAGATCAAATGGACAGATGGGCTGATTATTTTAAAATACTCCTAAAGAGACCAGGCCCAGAGGTTTCTCCAGATATCCAGAAACGGAACTGGATATCAAGTGTGAAATACCATATAAAGAGGAAATTAGGAAAACTATCAAACTTCTGAAGGAAGGAAAGGTAGCAGTTCCATATGGTATCCCAGCAGAAGTTAACTAAGGCTAGTATAAACACATAAGAAGGCCATATATACATACATACATACACACACACACACACACACACACACACACACTCGAGGCAAGATCACAACAGGTAAGTCTGAAAATACTCAAGGGAAAGACAAAGTTAATGAGAATAGATCAGGCAAATAGTGATGTGGTTTCTCTTAATGGTATCTCACTCCAAGACCTGGAGTCCTACACCTATTTGGGCAGTAGTGTAGATGAAGATGGGGGAACTGATAGAGATATTACATTAGGAATATAAAAGGCAAGAGATGCTTTCATGGCACTAGGAAATTTGTGAAAGTTAAAAAAAAAACAAATTACAATTTTTTAATTATAATGTCAAATCGGTACTGCTGAATGGAAACCAAAAAGGTGTCTTTTCTGACTCTACCACTTTTGCGTTATTTTTCAAAAAAAAAAAAAAAAAAAAAAGATTTCTCATCGATACAATCAATCGTCAGTAATTATCCGATAAGACTTATGTTGTTACGTGTCGATACTAGCATTCCTGATGGTAATTATGAATGTTTTCAGCAGACACATGCTAATATTAATTTTGTGTAAATTGTGTTTAAACAGTGGACATATACTCGTGTGGACAGTTAACAAGTCTACGCCTCGACCCTGCAACTAAAACACTGCTAGCCCTGGATACCTACAGGGGACTGTTTGTGGTTCAGCCTGAAACTGGTATGTTTGTCTACGTCCTCTTTGTGTACCTGCAAGTAAAACACTGCTAGCCCTGGATACCTACAGGGGACTGTTTGTGGTTCAGCCTGAAACTGGTATGTTTGTCTACGTCCTCTTTGTATACCGCAAGTAAAACACTGCTAGCCCTGGATACCTACAGGGGACTGTTTGTGGTTCAGCCTGAAACTGGTATGTTTGTCTACGTCCTCTTTGTATACCTGCAACTAAAACACTGCTAGCCCTGGATACCTACAGGGGACTGTTTGTGGTTCAGCCTGAAACTGGTATGTTTGTCTACGTCCTCGTTGTGTACCTGCAAGTAAAACACTGCTAGCCCTGGATACCTACAGGGGACTGTTTGTGGTTCAGCCTGAAACCGGTATGTTTGTCTACGTCCTCGTTGTGTACCTGCAAGTAAAACACTGCTAGCCCTGGATACCTACAGGGGACTGTTTGTGGTTCAGCCTGAAACTGGTATGTTTGTCTACGTCCTCTTTGTGTACCTGCAAGTAAAACACTGCTAGCCCTGGATACCTACAGGGGACTGTTTGTGGTTCAGCCTGAAACTGGTATGTTTGTCTACGTCCTCTTTGTGTACCGCAAAGAAGGGAAAGTGGCTTTAGTGCGTTTTAAATTTTGTGCCCTCATATTAAAAAAAAAAAAAAAAATATCGAGAAATCCTGTATGGATTATCATGAGTTTTTGCATGTGACCTTAGATTTCACATGTCCTTACGATATTTTAATTTACAATTGATTTTTGTTTGAACAATAATTGGTGTATCCCTGATAAAAAAAAATATATACATATAGTAATTGACACACGCCTGGAGATTGTTTCAAAATCAGTTCACTAGTGCAATGCATGATGATTATTGTGACAGTCTATCCCGCATACAACGAAAATGTATGCTTATATAATTCATCAGAGGCTAATGCTGGGAATGACATGATAGTGAAACACCTATGAAACGAGTGCAGTGTGATATTTTGAAAATTTTCCTTATCCCATTTAACTGTAAACATTCTGATGTTGTCAGCTTTCGCTCGGTGTCTGTTAAAATCAAAACTAGATGTTTGTTTATATTTAAAAAAAAAACTTTTTTTTAAATTTTTTTTTTTTTTTAGAAAAGAAGGGTTTATTATCAAACTGCATGCCAAATTTCAACAACTTAAACTTAACTTTTACTGAGTTACAGTTACTATAAGAGTTACTATAAAAAACGGTCTCTTCTGTTATCTTTTATATCTTCACCTTGATGTATGATCATTTCGCGTGACCTTCCAGCTAATGACTCCAGTGTGCAAATTAAAGTAAGTAAGTAAGGTTTACCCCAGCAGGACATCACACAAAGTGATAAATACCCGGTGACACAAAGTGCCACCATGCGAATGGAGATTATTCGGGAAGAGGTCCCGGAAACCCCGTTCCACCGTTAGGTTATATAAGGGCCCCCGGCAGCAGCCGAGATGGGGCTTCTAAATAACGAAAAATTGCATCCCACAAGGGATGTAAAACTAAAGGAACCAATTT